ATAGTGGATTGTAATATGTTTTTTTTATCACAGTGGATTGTTTACGCCACTGGTTGGCCGTGGATGTTTCCCCAATTTGGGGTTTTACCACGTTAAAAAAATCTGGGGGCCCTATCCTTGGGTTTTTTTTTTTGCAAAAATACAAGGAGACTTTGTTGTTTTGCTATCTGCCCATGCCTTGTGATTTAAATTATGTAATTTCATATGGTCCAAATCTATAATACATTTTTTAAATATAAAAATAAATTTTAGCAATTTCACATAAATAATTTTAATTGATAGACAAAGCATAAAATTGTTTTGGCTTGGCCTAAGATTTTGATTTAATTAATTGGTACGAAAATCAATAAAATTTATAACTGGTGATAAATTTATTTTAGATAAATAGGGATATAATCATTTACTTTTAATTGTTATTGAATTATATTATCTGGAAAGTTTTAATTTTCTGGAATTATTTTTTTGGGAATGAGTTTTCAAACTTCTATAATCAATTGCCACAATTAGCAATTACTTGTATTCACCTTCTTAGAAAGACTGCATATCACAAACTAAGTCGAAAATAATTTTGGCTTAACTTCCCCAAATTCTATATTTAGGAGAAGTGGTCAATGAAACACACCTTTAATGTTTAAAAGATTATTACGAGTATATGAATATGTTCACCGGAGTTTAAAAAACATTCACTTTAAAAGTAATTAATTCTTTGATAAATTTAAAATTTGACTTTTAAAGTAGCTTTTAGCCAAAACCTAACATTAAGTTCTTAAATTTATTTTAGATTCTTGATTAAATTCCTAAATTTTTATTGAAGTAAATAAACTCTTAAATTTGTCCACTGAATAATTTAACTATCTTTATTATCGTGAGCTTAACACTCATTTATATTTTTCTTGGATGGACAAGATCAATTCTTACTACATATGTAATGATATGTGAATATCTTGTCCACATAAATGATATAGAAACTGATGTTAAGTTTTTCATAAAAAAAGGATTAAATTACTTAAATTGCTCTATTTAAAT